TGTCTGTATTTTTAATCGGCAACATCGGTTACTCGTGTTGCCGAGCACCGTTACATTTCGAACAAACGGCCGAATTCGTCCGCGTCGTCGTCGTGACGAGAGGCGATCGCGTCAAGTCGAAAGTAATCGAGTCGGAGCCTCGCGTGACGGCACTTTCGGCGACACTTCTGACCGATATCAAATTTCAAACCGCCAATTCTCCAACGAAGGCGGCAGGTACAACCGCGACGCAACATCGCGACGACGACGACGACAACGATACCTCCATCTCGATTGTGGCGTGGAGTTTGCGGATCGCGCGCGTAACACGCTGCGGCCGTTCCGTTGCGCGTCGTCCCTCGTCACGCGCACACACGGCGAATTACACGCGACGTCAGACACACTTCGCGATGGTGAAGGATGTCATCGGATTTAATTCGGCGGTTTGTCGGTGCCGCCGTGTGCGAGCGAGCGAGCGAGTGATCGAAACGGTACATGCGCGACGAGACTAACAGAGACAAGGACCGCGGGTGAGCCGGTGGTTGGGTCTCCGGGGAGAGGAGAGGAGAGGAGAGGAGACGAAAAGTGGTGACGAGGGAGGTGAGAAGGGGAGGACATTCCCTCTCTCTCTCTCTCTCTCTGTCGTTGTGTGTTGCCGCGGGTGCAACAACAGTGTTTTGCTATGAAGGATGGACGGATGTGACGTCACAGGAGCTCACGCCGTGATCTATGGCGGCTGATAATGAAAGCGCGGAGGTGAGATACCGCGGTGGAAACTACACCATATAAGCTATAGTTTCCGCGAATATACGCCGCGTCATATGGTAACGCCGCCGCGGTGTTCGACGGCCCCCCCGCCGCGCGCGCGCTCGCCTATTGCACCCACCGCACCCACCGCCGACGAAACCCCCGTTTCCTCTCTCGTCTCCACCCCCCTCTCTCTCTCTCTCTCTCTCTCTCTCTCTCTCTCTCTCTCTCTCTCTCTCTCTCATCCTCTCACTCTCGCCGCGGCGGCTCATAGCGAAATTATATCTTCACAATGGGGGATTCGACGTGGCGGTGATAAAAGCTTGAATTATGAATATCGGTTAATTCATGCTACGCATACGCGGGGACCGCGATACGAGCGCGTGCGGATGTTACTTTATGACGCGGTGGCCGCGATTCCGCCGCGATTCGCTGGCGAGCGGCGATTTTCGCCATCGCGAAAACTTGCAATTATCGTGGCGGTCGGGCGCGCGGACTCCATTCGCGTTCTGTTCCGCGATAACAGCCGGAGCATCCGGTAATACGCGTGTATCGATGTCGAACGCGGCGGACGAGCGATAATACCGTGCAGATAGCGACGTGCAGATTTGCGAGCGACCGGTCAAGCCCGTTGCAACGGGGGGGAGGAGGAGCGCTGGACGCGCGGGCGCGCGCGACACGGCGATCGTTAGTCGCTCGATTGTCGCGCGATCGAGTTCGAGTGGAAGCGTCGAGAATTGACGCTTGCCCGCGGATCTTCATTTCGGAGCTCGTCCGGCTCGGCTTTTGCGCGTGTGAAAGGAACCGACTGGATTTTGGAAAGAGCGCTCTCGCGCGCGCTACGTCCCGCATGCTGCGCATCGGATATCGATGATGATGAAAAAACGTGGAGACAGCGAGGAGAAAGAAAGAATGAGAGGGAGGGAGAGTGAAATTCCGAATTTCGTTTCTATTCATTACATCGACTGCGGAATAAATTGAAGCCAATACTTCGGGTTACTTTCAGCGGGATACTCGAACGAATCATTGCTCTTTGTTTTGTCAAATTGCGGCATACGTTGGATGTGAGTGGCAATAATTGCGAAATGTTCGTCGACGTGTCACGACACGAGCGTATGCATGCGTTAAACCTGGAATTTAATTCGGATATCGCGCGTTTGCCGTACAAGAGAGAGAGAGAGAGAGAGAGAGACAGAAATCACCTTCGTAATAAACGTCAGCTCGAATTACAAATTTACACTTCCGCGCTTTGTACTTCCGTGGTTCTTAACCCGCGTAGCGTCGATCGAGCGGCCGGAGAGAGAGAGAGAGAGAGAGAGAGAGAGAGAGAGAGAGAGAGAGAGAGAGGGAGGAGAGGACAATCGCCTGTCGAAGCGCGCGAATTTTCAAATCAGAGGCGCGCAGTCGAAATGATGATTGATCCATTTGTTTCCCGACATGTCGGCGCGGCGGATATTAAGTTTCCAAATATCCGCGGGTCACACTGCGACGTGCGAAGATCAATTAACGCCAGACTATTCGGTGCAAATTCTCCCACCGGTCTTACGTCACTCCCGAGACGAACGGTGCAACACGTTAATTGCGACGTTGATTACATTGGCTATGTGCGAAAGCTCTGCTGACGATAGACTCGCGGAAGATGCAGTAAATTATTGCAATTCGGGAGAGATGCGTAGATCTCCTTTACCTCGCTTTCACCCCTTTATTGCCCGCGCAACCGAATTAATTAATTGCACTTTAGTAAGTAAGTAAGTGTACGTAAGTTAATTAGACGCGATGGAGCGTCATCACTGATTATCGTCACGGTGTTCGATGTATTGATCACGTGGCTAGCGTGTCGAGCTGCGAAACGGACAACTCTCGAGGAAGTCTCGTTTATTCCCGCTCAACTACTTTTTAAGCAGTCGGTGTCTTGTATGTTACGTACACGATACAGGAAATAAAAAAAGAGAGAGGGATCTCATCGAGGAGACATGGAGATTAAAATGTAGCTCTAATAAAATCTCCGATAACTCCTATCCACGATATCGCGTGATTTCATCAACGCACCGCGGTCGAAAACTCGCCGACGCGAGAACTCGTTTATGTCGTTAAAGTTTAAGTTGCCGCCCGCAAACTTGAAGATTGAAGGGACGCACGAACAGACAGTGAACGAGAACCGAGATGCATGAGGCAAGTACGCACCGGCGGCCGATGTCGATGAATGAACGAACGACACGCGCTTGAACTCGACACTCTGTGCGTATTGTTAATCTCCAATTTTTTATGAAAAACATGTGCGCAATCTAACACGATAAGTGGCGCATTTTTGTCAGTCGATTTCGGTCTCGCGAAACATGCTCCGTTGGGCAGGAAGAGAATGCGCAATTTCCGGAGCAATCTGTTCATTCGAAAGTGATAACGACTTTTTCGTTTTTCTTTTTTATAAGTTTCGCAACCTATACGGTACACTCGATGGAAAAATTTGTTTTTCACTCATACTCAGGGGATAAATTTACCTATGTAGGGTATCGGACGCGTATCCAGAAAGTCATTAAAAAAAGAGAGAGAGAGAGAGAGAGAGAGAGAGAGAACAAACGATGCAGTTTTCATTCCGTTTTCGAGAGTACGTCACAATTGCATTAGATACGCGCATCGCGCGCATTGACTTTTTACGAAGGACCAACGGTTACTTTCGCACGTTAAATCAGGTTAATGCGAATCAAGCGAGCACACATACTCGTGCATGGATTTCCTGCCAGGTCGAGATACTTTTATTCAAAAATTTCCCCATTTATTTAGAATTTTCCAAGCAACTAGGTGTTCTCTTTGTTTTTCTTCCTTTTTTGTTTTTTATTTTTATTTCCTCCGTCCGTCGACTTCGGATATTTTTCAAGTAGAATCCAACCTCCCGCGTTCGTACGCGAGTTATTCCTCGAAACAATGTTCGCGTCGATCGATTCGCCATTACACGAGAGGGTTCGCTATCGCCGCGGTGGCTGGACTAGCGATTCTTCTGTTCTTCCTTTCCACCTGCCGAGAGATGTAGATTTCGCGTTAACCCAGAAACTCCCACGAACGGGCGTGAGCTTCTTTATAAGTCGATGGGCTTCCTGAGAACTCATCTGAAACTCGGATTAGGCGGTGGCATGAAAAAAGGAAGGACTAGGGCGGACGGTGAGGGAGATGGCGAAGAGGAAGACGATTTACGGTATGAAGCACGAAGGTTATGGTCAGCACGCGAAAGAGTGTGAGAGAGAGAGAGAGAGAGAGAGAGAGAGAGAGAGAGAGAGAGTACGAGAGAGGCATGAGAGAGGGTTGATGAACCCAAGGAGGTCGGGAAGAAGGTTGTAACCGCCGGAGTGGAGATTCACAGAAGAGATAAAGCGTCCATTATCGACAGTCTTTCGAAGCATCTTACGAGCTCGAAGCGTTAATAATTATGAAAACTGCTCGACTTGCCGCGCGAAGCTTCACGACGCTCGTAATAAACGCGGCATCGTCGTTTTATTGCGGGAACCCCGGCGGGATATTACGGCGACTTCCAGCGTAGCGCCGCGCCGTTGCGCGCCCGAGAGAATTTCGGTGTGCCAATCTCGCGGCGATGCTGGATTATCGGGTGTGACGTGCGCGATTATTATTTGACGATCCGCGGGATCGTTTTCAGCTTCGGAGTTGCGAGATCGTTCATATTTTCATATTCCTGCGATTTATCGGGGAATTTCGCCGAGGAAATAGAGCCGTTAATTCGCTGTTCTTTTTTTTTCCTCTTTCCTTCCCCCTACCGATATTTTTGCGTTAGATTCTGTGCGAAAGAATCCATCGCTTTTCTTTTCAAATTGGATTTTGACTTTCATAGCAAGTTTACAATATGGATATTGAAAACGATGCAGAAGGGAAGAACCCGTTGGACGATAGGCTGAGACAAATCGTTTTATTTTGAAAAGAAATTAAAGTATTCCGAAACTGAATAATTCCGCGATCAGTTTTCTTTTTCACAATTATGATCACAATCGTTCGCACGAACGGAACATAATTTGTTTGCAGATAATGAGGTTAATTATTTATAAAGTAATATTAAAAAGCAAATACATATTATACGATTACCTGGAGAGAGTACAGCACATTTAAATTCGAGCTAGAGCAAACGAGGGATAAGATTCGCTCGTTTCATTACACCCGGGGGAGGCTTCGTTAACTTTATTATTTATGATCTTTTTTTTGTAACTCGAATCATTAGTGGGAACTTGAACTCTCTCGACATGTTGCATTCCGATCACGGTTTTTACACTCACCTTAGTACTGTCATCTGGTGAAAACGTAGCTCATCGTCAAGTGAACCAGCCAAAGATTAAGGAACGCTCTTGAAACTCCGTTGCCGTCGTGCACGGCGGCTGGCAGTTCACCTGGAATTACATCGGGATTATTGCATCTTTCGGCCGAAGACTTATTGTTCAATTTATCAAGCGAGACTAAATGAACGAGCAATCCGCCAGTGACAGGCACGATAATCGAGCGGCCGAAAGGAGAAACTAATTAAGTTGAAATGTTCTCGCCATTTTTGCTTCTTTTTATCCGCCGTGCTTTCGATTCCACGCGATAACTACGCCGAAAAAGTTCCGTTACGCCTTGATAATTTCCGGATACATTCCTCGCGACGGAGAAAGTAATTCAGCTCGTGTGATCGACGTTAATTTTTTTTTTATACAAACTCGATTTCATTTCATTTATTCGATTTCATATTCACAACTATTACATATAGCTATACAATATTTACGTTGCAGCTCAAGTTCGGAAACAAGTTTTATTTACTTACAAATAAATGAAATAAATTTATTTGTCAACAGTCGCTAATAAATAATTGCATAACAATTAATAATTTATTGATTAATTTTCGTAATCTCGTCTAAAAATTGTTGTGGAATAAAGTGCCAAAATTCTCATAGCCAATCATGTTGTCACTTTTGAAACGCGAGGGATTAGTTTTCAAGCATGAAACGCTCGTCGTCGTGTTTCTCTCTCCGTCTCTCTCCCTCTCTCTCTCTCTCTCTCTCTCTCTCTCTCTCACTCTGTCTCGAGCTTTATGCTTTTGAGCTTGCCATCAGTCGACTGTCCTCTTTGGTTCTCGAATCGCTACTATCGCAGCAGCAATTGCGGTCACAGCGTGAGAGGCTCCTGATTGCGGATCGCTTCTGACGACTCACGAATCGCGGCATTAAATAATCGATTTTCGCACAAAGCCGCTCGCACGGCCGGCGTCTACCGTCGAGACAAGAACACATTTGTCATTTCATTAATGGTTGCGTTTCGTCTATAGGTTTTCCGTCAGGCGCAGCAGGCCGCCGTCGGGTTGACGTATTTTCGTGGCCTCCGTTTAATCGCTCTTCAACCGAGTTACGTTTCCCAGATAATAGTTTGGACGTCGGAGTTTTCGTGAAATTAGGCGGCTCTTATTAATGGCTCTTACAGCACTCTTCGTAATTTCGCGCGCTCGTTCATTTACATGCGGCCGTTTGCTCGCGGTCGACACCGCGAGATGAAATTAAAATGCCTGCGAGCACGTTGAAACGTGTGTATTCACGTCGATGCACCTCGTGCGTTAAATTGTCCGCGGCTCTTTTCCATCCGGTAATTTTCTTCGGACAATTTCATCGGAACTAAGTCACTTTAATTAACTGATCATGGGAGCTTATCGACAGGCATTCGAGCGTGAACTCGCTTGAACCCTTCGACGTTGCGGCGACCGGTTGACTTTTGGTGATTAGACTGGGCGGGATTTACATATGCAGATTTGCGTATACGTGATTTGACTCGCAAGTGTTTTCGCTTGCACGCGATCGCTGCAGATATTAAGTTAATTTATTGAAGGATAACGGCCTGAGAACGGCCTTCCTAAAGACCTGTCTGCCTCTTTGCCGAAGGATACTCGTAATTTTAATTCTTGATCGAGTAATCTTTAAAAATCTGCGTTTGAAGATCGAAAATCGATTGAAATTCAATCCAGTCTTTTAGCCGTTTCCCGCGACATTTAATGATGCGCGTTGGCCTCTCATAATCAATTACTAAACTTTCCTTCCAATGCGACTACCTTGCATATATACATAGATGGAGAAATTCTATTCAAATTAATTAAACTCCCGGATATGCCAGATCGATCGTGTTCTCAGTCGTGTTCCCTTTGCTCGTATCGTTGTGCCCCGGGAAAAGGCGCGCCGCAGCTGCCTCCATTTCGAAATTAATAAATACATCGTTAAATCTCCTTTCCATTTGCCGTGTTTGCTCGATGACGAAACCTGATTCAACGATTCCACTGGTAAATTGCTTCTTTGTTTTGACAGTAGTGTTTCGCGATGCGCCTCCGCTCTTTCTCCCTCTACTTCAACTTCTGCTCTCTTCCTCCCCCTTTCTCTCTCTCTCTCTCTCTCTCTCTCTCTCTCTCTCTCTCTCTCTCTCTCTCTCTCTCTCTCTCTCTCTCTCTCTCACTTCTCCATCGTGTCGGTATTATTCTGCCGCTTTGCCGCGTTTCGCTTCCCAATTAAAAAAGTTTTCACTTAATCGGGTAAAATATTTTTATGAGCTTCCGGCTCTCGCGCGGCGAAACAAAAACTTCAGATTTTTCATTAGTCCCTTAATGCGCATATTTCCCTATTATTATTCGCATCAACTCCGCCCTCGCGTCGCGTCGATGGAATGCGATATTATTGATTCATATGATAAAACGCGGCAAACTATTTAAAAAAAAATAGTCCGCCTGTATTGTCTATCGCCGTACAATGGTTTGCAAGCCGAACGAACATAAATCCTGGCAGAGTCGTTAATCCCCAAACGTATATACGCGCCACTGAGTTTGTTAAATTCGTATGCCTTTTTTCTTTATTTAGTTTTATATCTCTCAATCGAAGACATCGTGATAAATTCTGAATTACGTTTCCTCGAAAATTTTATCGTACTCATCATCCATGATTAGAGTCCTGCCATTTTTTGCCCGCCGTTGCGACGATTCGCATATTGAGAAAATTGCGTGAGTAGTTTGTACACATTTCTCTCTCGTTCTTTTCTTCCCCAGAAGATATTTTGGATAAAATTACGTAAGAAAAAAGTGACGCGCTGAAGCGTTTACCACTCTACTCGAGATTATGAGATGAAGTCGCGAGGGGAGAAATGATCAGGGGCGAGTTGCGCTTATCGAGATTCTTAATCTCATCTCGCCTCGAATAGTGCCGACAAACATTTATTTTTCCTCTTCTCTTCCGTTTTGTTTCGTATTGCCGCTGCCGAGTCTCTGCGAGCTTATTCGCGGTTATCGATCACTCGAATCGTCCCGGGCATCGCGGCGTAACGTCCTTCCGGCTCGCGTTCTTCCCTCTTGCTTGTCGTCGGGGCGCGCCGATAGAAATCGCGGTCCTGGCCGTGTTCCAGGATCACCCAGGAATTTGTCAATTCGTCCCACTCGATCACCACCCTGCCGCCCACCGACTTACAGCTTCTTCGCTTCTATCTGTCGCCCCTCTCCGCTCGCGCCACCCTTTTCCACCCTTCCGACTCTCGAGTACCACTGTCCCTTCGTCCATCTATACTCGCCCCTCCGATTCTTCACCGAGTTTCGAGTTCTTCCTCTCCGCCCGTATCCTTTCAACTCCCCCATCTCTCGACGTTCCTTTTTCATTTCTCTCGCTGTTCCCTCGTCCTTTCGCGCTCCACCGCACTGTCACACTGTCTCTGCTTCTTCTCTTCGCCTACCGATCTCACTTCACGCTTCTCCCACGACCCCTCTCCCTCGCTCCTCTTCTCGCGTTTTCCATCCACCTGTCTCTCTCTTTCGCTCCCGTGTCCGGCCGCCGCAGATTCTCCTTCCGGTCGGCTCACAAAAAAATCACGAAGATCCTGAGATCTTCTTTACCCGCCTTAATCCAGGCATTCGTCCCGACGGCTAAGCCAAGAGGGAGAGCCTGGCATTTTTCAATGAAATACCACGGAAACGCCGATAAAACTCACGTCTCGGATGACGACGACGACGACGACGGCGGGCATCGGCCTTGTTGAGAACGTCCTTCGACGGTTTAATGATTGCCAGGGAGCTCTCCTTGATCACGTGAAAGGTCTCTCCTCCGACCCCACCCGTTGTTCCTATCCTTACCTCGGCCGAGGGTTTTTTAATCTTACCGTGGAAAAGAGGTCGCATGGGAGAGGGGGGAGGGGGGAGAGAGAGAGAGAGAGAGAGAGGGACGAACGAACGAACGAACGAACGAACGAACGAACGAACGGCTGGCCAGCCGGGCGGGCGGCCGGTCGGCTGGCTTTTAACGGAACAGCCGCAACGTGTAGTTTCATCTTTTAAACTTTTAATATTCAGATAACATATTTTAAAGGAAAAATTCGGGTCTCCTTGGTCGCCAGATGCATTTTAATGTTTTTACGATCGGCGTGAATAACTGGGGATGGTCGGATCGTTCGGCCGTGAGTAGCTTTTCGAGAAAAGTTTGGAAAGTTTTGTTGTGTCTTGCTTCTTGGCGGAAGAGAAGAATACGTCACTTTAAGTACAACGGTAGTTGGGCGAAGAGACGAGTACTTTGCACATTTATCCATCGCAAGAAGGAGGAAAGTAGAAAGAAATGGAAAATAATATCGTCTTCGTATGTGATCAATCCCTTCGTGTGTGAAAACGTTTTTTATTTTCCTTTCTTTTGTTATCATCGTTCGTTAAAGAAGCCATCTTTTTCTCCGTTGTCGTCACATAATACAACAATGGCTCTCGCGGCAGGGGCAAAGCAAGCTAGCAAGCCCCGCATAGCGACAGCTCCGAATACGTTGTAATAGACCGCGGTTGAAGGCCGCGGTCGACGATCTGTTCGCGGTTACTCGGGTCCGTTCCTCATTGCTACTTCGATTCATGCCCGTTGGATACATTTCCTGTATGCGGCGCGGCGGGGCGTTCTCGCCAATTCCCGGGACGGAAGGGGCTGGAACTTCCTATTGGCCACTTCCTATCCTGCTAGTTCAGCGTGAGGAATTCCAATTCCCGGTGCTTGTCCCCCGGCTGACCACAAGTCGGGACCTTAGATTTAATCTTTCGATTTGGAATCGGAAGGTCCGACTACAAGAGCCGGGCTCTTTGTCTAATGTTATAAAATAGCCGAGAATTATCTGGAACGCGTACATCATCATAATGTTCTCAGACTCGCTCTACTCCGCACAGATGCTGTCTCCCGTAATTGAAAAAAAAAAAAGTCGCAACCGGAGCACTTTGTCTCTATAATGTAAGAAAATACGTGACGTTAGAGTTTTTGTCGGTAATATCGCGACGACGCAACGAAATAGACACGTCGCGTGTCTATTTCGTTTTTAATTTTTTGTGCAAAAGTGTATTCCACTTTTTTCACTGCGCGTGCAGGTGTCATTTAGATGA